CCAGGAAAAGTTGCCGATATTCGACTCTTATAGGACTGAAAACGTGCAATAGCTAACTTTGCCAAATAGTGCATATGTGTGCCAAATTTCAGCTTTGTAGCTTTGTAAACTTTTCAAAATAAAAATTTATTTGTGTATAAGCACATTTCATGCAGTAGTCCATTGTTAGTAAAAAAATGCTATTTTTTTCTCTAATTGTTTTTGATTCGGTTTTAAGTATTTTTCCGACTCCCTGGGGTCTAATTAGTAGGCAAAAACCCAAAACATGGGCGAAATCGATTTATTTGGCAAAGTTAGCTATTGGACGTATTCCGTCTGTATGGCCTATAAGAGTCGAATATCGGCAACTTTTCTGGGCTAACTTTTTCCCTATGGGAGATTTCTCAGTTCTGTTTTTTTCTAAATATGTAGCGGGCCCATGCGTCAAATTCCAGCTTTGTAGCTTTGTAACTTTTCAAAATAAAAATTGATTTGTGTATAAGCACATTTCGTGCAGTGGTCCCTTGTAACTAAAATATTCTATTTTTTTCTCTAATTGTTTTTAATTGGGTTTTAAGTGTTTATCCGACTCCCTTGGGTCTAATTAGTAGGAAAAACCCAAAACATGGGACAAATCGGTTTATTTGGCAAAGTTAGCTATTGCACGTTTTCAGTCTAAATGGTCTATAAGAGTCGAATATCTGCAACGTTTTCTGGGCTAACTTTTGTTGTCAGCATGGTATACTTATAACTATGCAACTTGTAATTTAGTTGGCATGAATAGGCAGAACATAATTATCACTATTTTTCTTGTTTATTAGGTAGCCCTAGTATTTCTCTCTGCGTGCCTATCTTTACTTTTCATGTCGATATAGCATGCCTAAAGTTATTATCACTTTTGTAGTTACTGTACTTATTACCTGTTTCAGAGCGGCCATCTTGTTTTATATTTCAAAGTCACTTTTGTATTCATTAATTAGCTACTTAATTTAATTGGGTTAGTAAAATCATTTGTTTTAAGTATCAAAATATGTATTTGTATATTACAGATCATATATAGTTAATTTCTTTATTGAGGCATGGGTTCTTGATTTTGATAATATTAGTTCAAAGTGTCAAACTTGTCACATTTCCTGACTAGTCAATAAGTTTTCCAGCATTGATTTAAATATAGGTTGTATCTCCTAATTTAGCTAAGCTTGAATATCAATCAGATGACTCATTCTCTCTAAATTAGAAGATTTAGATTTAGTAACAGGTGTGTAAGGATTTTAATGATTGTTAGTGACGACCACAAATCGTCCCGAACCCTTAATTTTAATTGTAACGTTAATTTAATGTCAAATGCTTATCTATAAAAACGTTGAAAATTATTTTGTTTTATTTCTTTAAACACTAAACTTTAAATGGTGGCTGGAGTGGGATTGCTTTAGAATAGATTTGATTAATTTATGGACTACACTATGAGTAGTTTAGAGGATTTAGAGCAGGCTGTGTCACAGTTAAGTTCATCATATGAAAGAGATGTAACTGCTCTGGAGAGAAGAATACAGCAGTACAGAAATACAAGATTGAATGTGTCTCCTGCAAGTGATATTGAATTAGTTTCTTCTACCTCAAGGGGGGCATGTACGCCTACACTATTTTCAGAAACAGCAAGTACACCACTTAGTACACAGAGCAGCAATCATAGCATGTTTTGTACAAAAATAAATCAGAGGGCAACCTCAACTCCTGCTTTCGGATTGTTTGATCCTGATCCAACATTTAGTAGACCTGCTTGTACTCGAGTTGAGGGCGATCAAGTCAGGAGTACAGTTGCAGAAAGTAGTAGACCTCATGGGGAGGTCCCACCTAGGCCATCTAGGGTTAGTTTTGATGTTCCTGCTGAGAGAACGTATACTCGAAGTAGATATGCTAAGCCTGTTGCTATGCCACCTAAATTTGATGGTGAGGGCAGTTTAGTGGATTATATGGTTCAGTTTGAAGTGACTGCAGAAATAAATGGATGGAATGAAAATGAGAAAGCAAGATTTCTTGCAATTAGTTTAGGTGGAAAGGCCAGGGATATTTTTGGCACGTTTCGAGCTGATGATGATTGTTTAGATAAAGCACTACGACAGAAATTTGATCCTCCTGAACTAGCAGAAATGTATAAGGTCCAGCTGCGGGAAAGGCGTCGTAAGGCTGGTGAAAGTGTACCAGATTTTGCTTCCTGCATACGAATGATTGTTGATAAGGCTTATCCAACGAGCAGCGATTTTATTAAAGAGGAAATGGCCAAAGACCATTTCGTTCAATATTTTGGCAATGGGCAAATGCGCATGCTAGTAAGCCAGGCACGCCCACGTGATTTGAACTCAGCACTTCACCATGCCATGGAACTGGAAGCTATCAAATGTTCGGATCCGGATACCCGAACGGCTTCTGTAACTAATGTCAAGGACAAACCGGCAAAGAAGTCGACAGATTTAGGGAATAAAGAAATGAAGGTGTTAATAATGGCACGTTCGGAAGAAATTAAGTTGTTGAAGCAGAAAGTTGAGACAAAAGGTAATGAGTCAAAACAGGATGAAATTTAGAAGACAATTGATATTGGGAATAAAAGAAGTTCAGTTGATAGACCAAGAAGAAACAACTTTAGTGAAGTTACATGTTTCAATTGTTTGGAACTTTGGCATTATGCAAACATGTGCCCTTCCCCTCGGAGGAGTAGCTACTCCAAAGATGATAATCAAGGGAGACAAAGTTCAGAATTCAATAGTAAATCAGATTCTCATATTCCAGAGCGAACAGTGAATTCTCTGAATCCTAATTCCTCTGGTCTTTTTGTGGAAGGGCTTGTTGAAGGTGATTTCACAGAAATGTTGATAGACACCGGGGCTGGATTGTCTATGTTATCCATTGATTGTTATAAATCGATGGCAAATCCTCCACCCTTGATGCCTGTAACATGCAGGTTGTTTCAAGTGGATGGCACACCTTTACAAGTTATTGGTCGAGCTCTTTTCGATTTTGAAATAGGAGGGATGAAGTTCAAATATCCTTTTGCAGTCTTGAATATGGCGACTTCAGCTATTCTTGGATTTGACTTTCTTACAGATGAAAATGTTATTCTTAATATTGCTCAACGTGAAGTGTATGTAGATGGTTATATTATTGAATGCTATACCAAAGGTGCTTTTGGTGTTTGTAGAGTTAAAGTCGAAGAAGATATTGTTTTATTGCCTGGATATGAGCAAGTTGTAAATGCCAGAATTGATTCTGGAGATAAGTCCTTTGGAGGAACTGACAGCATAATTGAGCCTCTGAAAGATGTTGCCACTAATGCTCCTTTAGTTGGTTGTAGTTTAGATAAAAATTTAGATGTTTTCGCAAAGGATGAAGATGATTTAGGTAGGACTAATGTAGTCACTCATCAAATTGATACTGGCGGTGAGAGACCTGTACGCCAACCTCCAAGGCGGTTGCCCTATGCATCAAGGAAAGAGGTTAGGAAACATCTTGTCGAAATGAGTCGTAGAGATTTGATAGAACCTTCATCTGATGCCTGGTCTTCACCTATAGTTCTTGTCAAGAAGAAAAATGGCTCTACAAGATTTTGTGTTGATTATAGGCGACTTAATGAAGTAACAGCAAAAGATGCTTACCCACTACCTCAATTTAAAGTGATGCCCATTGGCCTCACAAACAGTCCTGCTACATTTGAGAGATTGATGGAGATAGTGCTATCTGGTCTTCATTGGGAAATATGTCTCATTTACTTGTTATTGTCTTTTCGAGAAGTTTTGAGGAACATATTTCAAGACTTTCAGAAGTATTTTATCGATGTCGTTTAGCCAAGATGTTCTTGTTCGAGGTTATCTGATGATGATAGAGACGCTAGATTTAAACTAGTTGTACCAAAGTCTCTTCGAGAGAAGGTACTAAAATCTTGTCATGATGAAGCTACAGGAGGTCATCTTGGCTGTGACAAGACTTACTCAAAAGTAAGTCAGGCTTATTATTGGCCCTGGCTTCGTTATGATGTTAGGCACTGGATGAAAACTTGTGGACGAAATCGTCCACAGGCTCCACTTTTACCGACTTTTAGTGGTTACCCTATGGAGAGGATTGCCATCGACATCACGGGTCCTCTACCAGAAACCTATGATGTTAAATAAGTATGTAGTGGTAATTCAAGATTACTTTTCAAAATGGGTTGAAGCTATTGCCGTTTCTAATATGCAAGCTAGTACTATTGCATCTGCATTATTGTGCATGGTTNTGAGGTTTGGTATACCGGGAAGTATTCACTCAGACCAAGGCTCACAGTTTGAGTCGGAATTATTTTCCGAATTGTGTAAGCTCTTGGGAATAACCAAGACTACTCCCTACTATCCTGCGAGTGATGGTCAAGTTGAAAGATACAATAGAACCTTGCAAAGTATGTTAAGTCATTATGTTGAAGATTTTCAACGAGATTGGGATCTACATCTTGATGTTGTTTGTTTGGCGTATAGATCAAGTGAACATTATTCCACTGGTTTCTCTCCCAATATGATGATGCTTGGACGCGAAGTTGATCTCCCTGTGAATATCATTGTAGGAAGACCTCCAGGAAGTTTGTTCACACCAATCGAGTATGTGAATAATCTCATCAGAAGAATGGACAATGTGTATGAGTCTTGTAGAGATCATCTCTCAGTCAGTGCTAATAGGGCCAAGAAACGTTATGACCAACATTGTCTACAGAATCATTTTGAAATTGGAACATTAGTCTGGGTTTTTATACCTAGAAAAAGAATAGGGATTTCATCTAAACTGCAACAGTTTTGGAGAGGTCCATATATAGTGAAGAGTAAACTATCTGACTTAGTTTATATGGTTCAACACAAAACAGATGGCAATAAAATGATTGTACATCATAATAAACTCAAATATTACCAGAAGCGGCATTCATTGACTTCATTTAAAGAGGATGATCAAGATCAACCAATAAAAGATAAAGCTGATCGTTCTTCTTTTCTTTCAGATTCGTTCTTAGAACATAACCAGTTATCTGCTTCTGTGCCTGATGCTGCTTGTGCTAAGAGAACACGTACTAGGACAGTCTAGCCTCCCGAACGTTATGGTTTTTGATTCATAATTTGATGTTATATGTCATTTCAGAGGCAAAATGAAAAGATATCAATCAACTGATCGTTGCAGAAATGACAGAAGCAGACATTATTCACCAAAGAGAAAACGTGATGAATATCAACCGTTACAATCAAGGACGCCTAGTAGGTCTATAACATGTACTGAATGTAGAGCTAGTTTTTCATCCCAGAAAGAATATCAGGGTCATTCATCTACATATCATCCTCAGAAGTCAAACATTTGTCCTGTATCTTCCTGTAATGAAATGTTCACTAACAATTATAATTGGCGTAGACATTTGGCAACCCATTTGCCCAAAACTGAAAATGCCGATAACTTGTATGCTGAGATGATCTTGAACCGGTTGGATACCAAACAGAAATCATCCTCAACAGCTACTGAACATAAATCTAGTACAATCCGGAAAGTATTATTGATTGGGAGGCTACTGGGAAGTTATTTCCACCCTATCCCGTACGCACTGTTGCCAAAGTTGCTGTTCATACTGATACCAATCCAGAAGATATTATAACAATTAGTGATGTCTCAACAGATAGACAACCTGCTTCACCAGTTACCAAAGCTTCGAATCAATTTGAAGCTATTCCAGTTGGTATTTTCATTCCCCAGCAAAAAAAAGAGGTTAATGATCCACCTGTTCAAGAACCAGTGAAAGATGATGTGCGATATCCGAAATTATTACGAAGTGCAATTGTAACCAGATGTAATGGATTAAGAGAATCTACTCATACCATAACTGACTCAACAGGCTCACAGATAATTTATAGATTGGTTCCTCGTTATGCACAAGAAATCGCCAACTTTGATAGAAATGGGCATCTTCAAGGATATCAGACCATCCTACATAATCTTTGTGTCCCTAATGATCAACCAAGTCCACCACCCATCGAAGTAGCTGAGGAAAAGAGATTGCGCGAGTATAAATTATAAATTACTGTGTGTTTCTTTCGCGTGTAAGTGCTAGTGCCAGTGTAAAAATAAAAAGTTACAAAGTCTGTAACATGTGTTTCATTTTGTAAATATATCATTTTTGGAATTCTTCAATTTTTGGATGCGTATAAGTGTGAATCCACAGAACATATAAGAATTGTACAACAGACTGTTACTTGTGTTTCTTTATTTTATTGATCATTACTTATCTGTATAGTGTCGATTGAGGACAATCGAATTTCGGGTTCGTGGGTAGTGTTGTCAGCATGGTATACTTATAACTATGCAACTTGTAATTTAGTTGGCATGAATAGGCAGAACATAATTATCACTATTTTTCTTGTTTATTAGGTAGCCCTAGTATTTCTCTCTGCGTGCCTATCATTACTTTTCATGTCGATATAGCATGCCTAAAGTTATGATCACTTTTGTAGTTACTGTACTTATTACCTGTTTCAGAGCGGCCATCTTGTTTTATATTTCAAAGTCACTTTTGTATTCATTAATTAGCTACTTAATTTAATTGGGTTAGTAAAATCATTTGTTTTAAGTATCAAAATATGTATTTGTATATTACAGATCATATATAGTTAATTTCTTTATTGAGGCATGGGTTCTTGATTTTGATAATATTAGTTCAAAGTGTCAAACTTGTCACATTTCCTGACTAGTCAATAAGTTTTCCAGCATTGATTTAAATATAGGTTGTATCTCCTAATTTAGCTAAGCTTGAATATCAATCAGATGACTCATTCTCTCTAAATTAGAAGATTTAGATTTAGTAACAGGTGTGTAAGGATTTTAATGATTGTTAGTGACGACCACAAATCGTCCCGAACCCTTAATTTTAATTGTAACGTTAATTTAATGTCAAATGCTTATCTATAAAAACGTTGAAAATTATTTTGTTTTATTTCTTTAAACACTAAACTTTAAATGGTGGCTGGAGTGGGATTGCTTTAGAATAGATTTGATTAATTTATGGACTACACTATGAGTAGTTTAGAGGATTTAGAGCAGGCTGTGTCACAGTTAAGTTCATCATATGAAAGAGATGTAACTGCTCTGGAGAGAAGAATACAGCAGTACAGAAATACAAGATTGAATGTGTCTCCTGCAAGTGATATTGAATTAGTTTCTTCTACCTCAAGGGGGGCATGTACGCCTACACTATTTTCAGAAACAGCAAGTACACCACTTAGTACACAGAGCAGCAATCATAGCATGTTTTGTACAAAAATAAATCAGAGGGCAACCTCAACTCCTGCTTTCGGATTGTTTGATCCTGATCCAACATTTAGTAGACCTGCTTGTACTCGAGTTGAGGGCGATCAAGTCAGGAGTACAGTTGCAGAAAGTAGTAGACCTCATGGGGAGGTCCCACCTAGGCCATCTAGGGTTAGTTTTGATGTTCCTGCTGAGAGAACGTATACTCGAAGTAGATATGCTAAGCCTGTTGCTATGCCACCTAAATTTGATGGTGAGGGCAGTTTAGTGGATTATATGGTTCAGTTTGAAGTGACTGCAGAAATAAATGGATGGAATGAAAATGAGAAAGCAAGATTTCTTGCAATTAGTTTAGGTGGAAAGGCCAGGGATATTTTTGGCACGTTTCGAGCTGATGATGATTGTTTAGATAAAGCACTACGACAGAAATTTGATCCTCCTGAACTAGCAGAAATGTATAAGGTCCAGCTGCGGGAAAGGCGTCGTAAGGCTGGTGAAAGTGTACCAGATTTTGCTTCCTGCATACGAATGATTGTTGATAAGGCTTATCCAACGAGCAGTGATTTTATTAAAGAGGAAATGGTCAAAGACCATTTCGTTCAATATTTTGGCAATGGGCAAATGCGCATGCTAGTAAGCCAGGCACGCCCACGTGATTTGAACTCAGCACTTCACCATGCCATGGAACTGGAAGCTATCAAATGTTCGGATCCGGATACCCGAACGGCTTCTGTAACTAATGTCAAGGACAAACCGGCAAAGAAGTCGACAGATTTAGGGAATAAAGAAATGAAGGTGTTAATAATGGCACGTTCGGAAGAAATTAAGTTGTTGAAGCAGAAAGTTGAGACAAAAGGTAATGAGTCAAAACAGGATGAAATTTAGAAGACAATTGATATTGGGAATAAAAGAAGTTCAGTTGATAGACCAAGAAGAAACAACTTTAGTGAAGTTACATGTTTCAATTGTTTGGAACTTTGGCATTATGCAAACATGTGCCCTTCCCCTCGGAGGAGTAGCTACTCCAAAGATGATAATCAAGGGAGACAAAGTTCAGAATTCAATAGTAAATCAGATTCTCATATTCCAGAGCGAACAGTGAATTCTCTGAATCCTAATTCCTCTGGTCTTTTTGTGGAAGGGCTTGTTGAAGGTGATTTCACAGAAATGTTGATAGACACCGGGGCTGGATTGTCTATGTTATCCATTGATTGTTATAAATCGATGGCAAATCCTCCACCCTTGATGCCTGTAAC